AGTTTTAATTTAAGTTTTTCAGTGCATTTTGATTATTAAATTTCACTTCATGGACTTCATATTCTATGTTTTAGATCGATACCTATTTTATATTAAAAATTAAGCTAAAACGGTTGCGGCAGGTTCATGAAAGTTATATTTTTGCATTATGTAATGACAGAATAAGATTTGAAGAATTCGTGTGATATAAATAAGCATATATGCAAGCACTGTAAATGCCCAGACAGACCTGCTTTCTATCTGTTTTTACATACATTATTTAGTTGTCGAATGTGCATTTCATTGATTTTACACAAAAACGTGTTAGCATGGTGGATATAATAAGAATGTTGTACCGTTACACTTTATAATCAATAAACTGAATAAACGATACAGTGTTTTGGGGTATTTCTGTCCTGTCCCTAATTCTGAAAGTTCCCTCTGTCTTTGAGCTCACATTCTGTGTGTACCTCACGCGCAGTAGATCCATTGCATGGGCGCATTCAAGAGGGGTAGAAAAGGGAGGATTCTCAATCTATTTGGGTTTTCTTCATTTTATGAAGGATACATCTGAAAATAAACTACGATATAAATTAACAAGAGATAAACGGCTTCTTTAGAGATAATGGAGTCAGTCATTTATTAATTTTTGGTGAACTTGAACAGTATGATAATTGAACTCCACGACTTTAAGTCGACATATTGAATACAAACAAATATTTTTTAATATAAAAGTATAAAATAAAAATTACAAATAATGATTAAAAATATCAAATTTTAAACATGGCAACGCCAACGTTGAAAAGAAATTGTACTAAAATAAACTCAATATACTGTTGTTTAGATTTTAGTACGATTTTTGATGCGCTTTATGTGATGCGATAGTAAGTTTTTGTTTATTCTAAATTGATTCCATGTGTTATATACTGTAATATTGATACGGAATCTTTCCAAGTGTGCTTATAACTCCATCAAACCATTGTTTCAATTTGATGATGAACCAATACACTGTCTTTGTATATTATATTTTGGATTATACATATTTATCTTTATTTATATTAGAGATTTAAAATTATATTTAAATAACTAATGAACAAACTCTGGATAAAATATATTTTTATTAAGAATTGATCTTATAAACTGCGCATTAAAATTAAAAGAACTTTCTATATAAAGCACAAATTATCACTAAAATGTGTATTGTATCTCTAATAAAACCAATAATTTTTTTAAGCGATAGGCGATTTTAATGCGAACGATTTGGAAGCGCCCTGCGTCGTGCAGTTACCGCCTCCGCATAGTACGGGATAAAGCGGCGTGCAGATGATGTGCCGGTTTAATAAGAGAGTTTGAAGCTTTGAATTGGTGATTAATAAGTATATATATATACATATATATGGTATTGTGCTTTTGCAATAATGCACAAACTGTTTTCGAAATATGGAATATCTATGAGTATGCAAAATATAATAGTTCGAAATTTATCTATGAGTGCGTCATCTAATTACATGGACATATATTAGTTTCATGCGTAATGCATCGTAAATTTTTTTTATATATGAAGTATTTTAAGCACTAACTTGTGTTAATTCATCATTTATCAACTGTTGTCATTTTTATTCTTTGCGTTTTTTGGAGTCTGACTATGGTGCATTCAAGTAGTACGGGCGACGACGGCGCGTTCTCTATTATTGGTGTAGTGCGTGCGGCAACGACTTGATAGTACATGTGGTTAGCATGAAACTTTACGCAAAGCCCCAAATAATGTTAACTTATAATAGAGTTAGTGATACGTTAATTATCTTACAAACGTTTTGAGATGAAATTTTGCCTCATCTAGTTAAAACTAGCACATATTTACTACATTCTTCAGAATACTTTTTGTTTCAATAACTGGAATTTTTATTAGACGAAAAATCTTTGCTTCAAATAAATAGGTCTGAAAACCTTCGGTCGATTGTAACAATTGAAAAAAATATTACAACTATTTCATTTCTTTCGAATGCATAAACATTTATACAAAACCATAATAATATTATAATATGTTATGGTAATCGAAAAAAACTCGAAAATGAAAGTTTTTATGTATCTTTACGTTTCAAAGGTTTCTGAACATTCTGACACTTTAAAAAACTGTATACAATGTGTGTGTGTGTCTGTGTCTGTGTCTGCGGATACAAATTTTCGTCTATGGTTTCGGATCAAACGATTTGAATAATTCAAATAACATTCGATTTGTATTAATAGGGGCAGGTCAATTTAGTTTTTGAGAGAACGAATCATTATTTGTACTGACGAAATGAAGAACTGATTACATTTTTGGGAAGGCGGGTCCAGCAGTTTCGGAGATCCTACAAAAAAGTAAAAAAAGCCATTTTGCGGTCAAAAAAGATTATTAGATAAATGCACATCAATTATCGGATTTTGTATAGCAATTATAATAATATTACACATTTTTGTTTTTATTTCTGTGGATTCCTACTAATGTTATCCGTTAGACTGCGACGTGGCGCTTACGCGCTTTGATATTTCCTATCTAAAATAGATATGCAGCGCGATTGCATTGAATAAAATTTTCAAAAAGTCAATTATTTTAAAAATTTTACAAAAAATTTTAAAGCTTTTTTAAATAAAATGATTTTCCGTGCGGAAAGTTGTAGCAATTTGCCTTAAGCACGATGCCATGCACCACTATTTCTTAGAAGTGTCGTATTAAAGCTTTAACTTTTCTGTGAATAACTGTATCGGTATCAAAGTATGTATAAATAAAGTAATATTATGTTCTATAGGGTACCAAATCCAGTGCCCTTTTCCTACAGCTCGCTAGCCACGAGTCTATCGTGTCCCGTACCCGTACCCGTACCCGTGCGTCGTGCGGCGGCCGTTTTGGCCCTCTCTTCGGTCTACGGCCTCGTGTGGAAGGCGCGCGCGTCGCTCGCATAGCCGTATAGCCGTATAGTCGTATGCCCTCGTTTAGATTTCCCGATCGGGATGTGATACGGCGCGTTAGTCTGACGTTCGCGAGCGCGCTGGATACACGAATCTAACATTTAAACACTGTGCCGTGTATTTGTTTTTGCTAATTACAATATGCAACTTTGTTGTTAGTGTCGCAGGTGCCGTTTTCTATGTTTGTTGGATTCCCATTCTTTCTTGGGTTAAATTTCATTCAATCAGACTTTTGTTTTCGGAATGAAGAAGAAAATCGTGGGAAGGATTAAAGGGCTATACATGTTTTGCTTTTGGTAGTGTGGTTTGACTATATATCTCAGTGATTTTATGCACAAAATATTGGTTTAGTTTAGGTTAGGCGTTAGTGGCAATACATTGTGTTTAACTGCTAAATTATATAACTTGGATATATTTACTCAAATCGCATAAGGTGAGTATTTGACGAACGTTGTCACATAACTGTTTATGCAGAACATTATGGGTTTTTAGGGTGGCCATGCTCGAATATTTTATACTTTATATTTCATTTAAATTATGTAGATCAGTTTATCTTTTGAAATTGTTTCAAGAAAAATTTCTCATGAGACATTACGAATTGTCATGATCAAATTAATAGTTTTGCGTTGGAGTTTTCGACATTTAAGTGGTATTGACATTTTAAAACTGGCACCGGAACCTCTGGAAGAAAGTGCACTATAATCGCAGTTCGAATCTGCAAACAAACAAATGTTTGTATATATATATATATATATATATATATATATATATAAACACGCATGTGCGTGTTTTTATTATTGATGTATGAGTATAATTTTTGAAATAAAAGCAGATAGCAAAAAGATATGTATATGAACTGTCAATTTTATGGCTCCTATTTTTATATAGCTTACCATGTCACATACATAGGAAAATGTTATAAATGTACTGACAAAAGGACCACTGATAACTTATCAGCTTGTGATATCTCCGCGAGTTCTTTATTATTATAAAATCAATATTTATTTTTACCTACAAAACAATTAACGGTGCTATGATTTTTCGTCGCTCGAAAAAGAAATGTAGCGTAACTATTTATAAATTCTTTACCTAAAGGGTAAAGTGAACTAAAATCGTCGTAGTTTTCAATCTTATAAAACAAAGAAATTTGGGTCAGAAAATCTATCAATAGCTCTCAAACAAAAAATGTTACTTCTGATATTTCTACTTCAAAACAGTATGGTCATTTTAGCACACTTCATAATGAAATACTTATATGCAAAATTCATTTATATTTGGATACATTTGTTATTACAATACTATCAATGTTTTATGTATTGGTATACTATAACTACTACTATAACTATAACTATGTAACTACTACTACTATAACCATAACTATACAACTACTACTACTATAACTATACTATGTAATTTTAATATTTTTTATATGTAAGGGAAGACTGGGTATGGTCATGCCGCTTTTTTTATCATCAATAATTTTGTTAATTTACCAGTTAGCTAGGAAAAAGTAAATTAAATTGTAATTTGAACAATTGTCTACGTAAAAATACTGAAACACTATCTTGAAATACGAGGGATTTGTTATAGAATCAAATCATACAAGAAAAGGGCGAGTGCCACAGGAATAAAAATAGGTTTAAAAACAATAAGTATAAACACCAAAATGGTTTATGACTTTTATTGTCGTTAGTAACAATAATATGTAATACAACACAATATAAATATTCGAATTAAGCTTATGAATAGTAGTATTAAGTATAACAAAACATATTTTTTTAAACAAAATTAACGAGAATTCTTTGTGAAATCATTTTTGAAGAAATCTTGTACATATTGAATTTTCTTTGTCCTTTCTTTTTCGTATTTTGTCTTAGTTATGTTAGATTTTTTTAATCTGTACGAAAAGGACAAGAAATACCTATCACACACAAAATTTGTCACAACCGTACCCAACGCACACTTTTGAAAATTATTATTATGACTGAGCTAAATTATCTAATTATAGGTAAAAACTAATTGCTAGTAAATAACTACTAATATTCAACTTACAGCAAAATAACAAACAAAGTGACCTTTAAAAGAATTCGAAAATGAAACTTACTTTTGTCTCTTTAAAAGCAATACGGTTTACAGATCATGTTAATGCACTGACTGAAAGTAATAATGGGAACTTGTTTAAACAATCATACTTGATCTTTGGACCCTATCCCAAAATCAAGTATAGTTTAGCTATTATGATGACTGTCACTACCGTACCCCGGCACAACCATACCTATTCTTCCCTATACTGAGTACACACAAGTATTCCCAATCTTCACATAATAGAGAATAAACTGTATTTTTAACTTCCTGTAGGGCAAGTTATAGTAATCGCAAAAAAATCGAAAATGAAAATTTTTATATATCTTTACGTTTCAGAGGTTTCTGAACATTTTGGCATACCTTAAAAAAATGGATGTATATGTGTGTGCGTGTGTGTGTATGTGCGTGTGTGTATGTGCGTGTGTGCGGATACAAATTTTCGTCGACGATTTCGGGAACACGTATGAAGCGATTTGAATAATTCCAAAAACATTCGATTCGCATTGATAAGGAGACGTGCTGATTAGTTTTTGGCGAAAGCAGGTCTAGCCGTTCCGAAGATATGGGGCGAAAAGTGCCAAAAACGGTAACTCAGTTTTTAAGAGAATGGAGCGTCCGATTTGAATAATTAACAATTTTAGTAGTATATATATATAGTATAATTTTTTTTACATTCTATGAGTTCCGTACCAATGCTTATCCGTTAGACGGCGGCGCGGCGCTTACGCGCTTCGATATTTTGTCTCTATGCAGTTAAAGCAGTACGATTACTTTGAAAAAAATGTTCAGAATTTCTAAAATATTTCAGAATACACTTTTCTTCAAAGTCTTTTTTCAAAAAAAAAGTAAATTTTTGTCAAAAATTTATAGTTTCTCAAAAATCTAATTTTTCAGATTAAATTTTTTTCAAAAATGTTAATCTTTTAAAAAAAAATAATTTTTGGTACGGGAAGTTCCAGCAATTTGCCTTAAGGCACGATGCCATGCGCCCCACTAGTTTAATATTTGAATATATAAAATTTCATCTCGAATAAAACAGTTCATAATACACATAATAAAATGTTCATATAAAATATGCAACATAAAATATACATATTAAAATTATATGAAAGTGTAAAAATCGTATGAAAATAAATTTGATCACACGGTTTAGAAAAAAACCTATTAGTTTACGTGAAAGCTATAAACTGTTACTGGGTTTTCAGAACGGAACTTGCTTTGAATACCTAAAGCATGTGATACAAAATGTCTCTGAACGATCGCCGTCTCAGCCGCCGTTGTTGCTGCTGCAACACGGTTCATTGCAAATTCAGTTCACTATTAAAAGCTGACGAATTATTCCCGAGAACTGTAACAACAGAATAATAAACGTTGCAAAAACGGATTTCAACAGATTTCTGTGTAATACGTTACGAAATGCTGCTCTAGATCTAGATACTTTGATGCTTAGATGCATCTCACACGTTGCCTGCTGGAACTGAAAGAGAATTTATTTATCTAAATCTACAGGTTGGCACATGCACTAAGGGTGTGTTCGCCACAAGCTCATTGTGAAATGAGTAGAGTAGAGCGGGGTTTGAAGGTCCGCGGGTAGAAGGACCATCAGCAATATCTCAAAAACCAGTAAAGTTAAGCATTTTTTAACAACAATATTTGAGAACAGAGGGAAAAAGATGTATGTCCAGATACCACCTTGATTCTGAAGACGTTGCTATCGGGAGAAAAACGGCAATGTTTAAAAATCCATTTGTTTTGATTGTGAGCACTGTTGCTTAGTTTTCCAGACCTTAATACAATTTTTAGGTATACGTTATTTAATTGTTTTATAAGATGTATTTTAATTTTAAGTTAGATTTAACAGTTTTATTATATAACCTTTATAAAAACTTACACATGGGCGGGGTAAAAGAGACCAACTAAACTTTCATCCTGGCAAAGTAAATTCAGATAAAATTAGCAATTTTACAAGAGAAAATATAAAAAAATAGTTATTTTAACTCTGCTGGTGAATATTTCTGACGAAATACCAGATCAAAGTTATTTACAGTACTATCTCTGCAAAAAAGTGCACCCATGAAATTTATATTTTGCATTGGTTGTATAATGTAGCTATTATTTTGCAAAAACTTTCTAAAATTAAAATAAAATCTGTTTGCCCCCTTGCCGTCCTAATTTACCCCGCTTATGGGGTAAAGGACCAGGTTACAAATTTTTGAAAAACAGCAAAAAATACATTTTTAGAATGATGAATTAGCTGGAATTTTTCTGAACAAAGTCCGATAGTTGTTTGATTGAAATGTGTTATTTGTTATGATATATTTGTTTTTGTTTTATTTTTTTGGCCGTAAAATTTAATTTAGTATGATCGTGATTCCGATTATCATTGAAATTTTGTTTTCTACATTTAATTACGAAGAAACGGCCCTGCCGATCTTTACCTAAACCTAATCAACGCGATTCCCAAGCAACTTTTCGAACATTATGCAAAACTAATCAATGCGAGTCTATGAATGGATACACATACTCATACTTTTTTCCAAATTTGATATCAATCGCTTCAGAATAACTTGAGAAAACATAAAATTAGCAAGTCGTATTTTTTTGGTGAAAACATAAACTTCTTCTTCGGGAAGTTAATAATGTGAGACATTAAGGAAACATCTTATAATCAAGTTTTGTATTTGTTGTTTTAATAGTGACATCTGAAAATTACAAAGTTGCAACGCAACTGGCACGTCATCTTTGTAATATAACTACTATTATATTCTTTCTATCATATGTAGAGTCATATGTCATGTAGGTTTTTTTTTTTATAAAATTGGTTTTGTTTGTTTATTTTTAATTGTAATAATCCACGAGGTTAGACCATGTCTGTTTTGAGCATTTTAGGTAAATATCAACAAATAAATCACTTTCTGATATTTTTTATGAGTTTTATGAAAGATTTTGATTAAATGTTATAGATATCTGTGTTTTGAAACCATTGATAAATTGATTGACCGATAGGAGTTCAGCTTCGAGCCCAAATTATAATTTTATATCAGACATGTTTAATTTTCAGTTTGATTTATATTCGGGCAGGATAGCTATTTTTTTTTAAATACGCATTCGATACGGATGCTTGATATAGCTAAAAGCTTAATTGTCTAAAGTTTGATTCAATATTCGTCTATTATTTTGTCTTATGCAATTTCTTCGAACTTCTTTAATTCCGTTCAAATTAAGTAAATTGGTATTTATATCTCTGATTTTTTTAAGACTTAAGTTTGCTTATTGCGTCAGTGCCGATGGGAAATTGTCTCATTAATATCCGTTAATAGATTTATCTTTGCGAAATCATTTGAAAAT